TAGGGGCTGATTAATACTCACCTTTTTGCACTGATAGAACGGGCAGACTTAGCCCCTGTTATCAGAATGTATTTGCCCCGCATGTAGGGACAGATTAATACTCTCCTTTTTGCACTAATGGAACGGGCAGATTTAGCCCCTATAATCAGAATATATTCGCCCCGCATGTAGGGGCAGATTAATACTCTCTTTTCTGCACAAATGGAATGGCAGATTTAACCCCTATAATCAGAATGTATTCGCCCCGCATGTAGGGGAAGATTAATACTCTCCTTTTTGCACGAATAGAACGACAGATTTAGCTCCTATAATCAGAATGTATTCGCCCCGCATGTAAGGGCAGATTAATACTCTGCTTTTTGCACCGATGAGATGGGCAGATCTTGCCCCTGTAATCAGAATGTATTCGCCCCACATGTAGGGGCAGATTAATACTCTCCTTTTTGCACTGATGAGACGGGCAGATCTTGCCCCTGTAATCAGAATGTATTCGCCTTACATGTAGGGGCAGATTAATACTCTCCTTTTTGCACTGATGAGACGGGCGGATCTTGCCCCCTGTAATCAGAATGTATTCGCCCCGCATGTAGGGGCAGATTAATACTCTCCCTTTTGCACTGATCGAACGGGAAGATTTAGCCCCTAAAATCAGAATGTATTCGCCCCGTTTGTAGGGGCAGGTAAACGCATGTAATTACTCAGTAGGGAAACGGACATATCATGCCCGTAAATCTGAATGTATTCACTCCTATTTTGATAACAGATTCAGAGCTTATGATTGTTAGTAGGGAAACGGGCATATCATGCCCGTAAATCTGAATGTATTCACTCTCATTTTGAGAACAGATTCAGAGTTTATGATTGTAAGGATGCAGCGGGCATATCGAACCCAAATATTTGAATGTATACGCCCCGCCTTTTGGGGCAGATTAACGCATTCTCAATCCCACAGGAGAGTGACATCCGTTAGTTAGCTGGTTCGGCAGGGAGCTATGCACGCCATGCATACCAGGAAGATACTTGCCCTCTATCTGAGTTATACTCATCAATCACTTTGACTTGGCTTTCCCCTCTCCCGTCTGTTCACGCACTCACGTGATGGTTGAAGCACTAGATCACTGGGCGCGCTTCGCGCCACTTTCCCAGTGTCCTCACCTTGGCTTGGTCGTGGGCCAGGTACACCTTGCCCGCCTCCCCTTTCTCTTCCGACCGTCTTCCCTATATCGTTCCCCAGTTGACCCGAGCGTCGACCTCGGCCCAGTCTCAGCCCGTAGGCCTTGGCAAACTAGAGGTAATAACTCAGTATGCCCGAACAGTCCCAACAGGTCCACCCTTACCACTCTGTTTCAGTATCAGAATAGCATGTTGCGTTCGCTGTGAGTCCCCACTATCGAGAGAGAGCCACGGCGGCAGGTTTATGCCGATGTAAGAATATAGGACCGGAGTGATTATGAACCAGCCTATTACCGCGACGTAGCCGATTTGGACCAGATCAGTGTTACACACCAAGACTTTCCATAGAAGCATCGTATCAGCATCAGTCGTGAGGTTATACCACACCAGCGCCAAGAGTGACGAATCTGCAGTCGTACCAGTCTTGGGCCGCCGCGCCGGCGTTAATTATGAAGTTCTGAATTGCAACAATCTGCACCGTGCTAGTGTCGTCCCAGATCCGAACCCAAGTCGACCTGTTGCTGTAGTTCCGGACCTGTCGTAAAATGCTGTAGCAGTTCCGGACCTGAGAAATAATCTCCGCGGGAGCCTTAACCAGCGCAAAACCTAAAATAAGCTGATGCCGAACCCACACCGAGCCTRAAACAATTGCTGTAACGGTGTCGGTTCCGAACCCGAACTGAGCTACCGCAGTGGTCTCAGACCTGAAAATAAATGACTACGAGGGTTCTGACCCTGAAAACGAGACGCCGTAGTGGCCTCATGCCTGAAACATACTAACGCCAGGCCCCATACCGAACCAGAAATATACCCCTGCAGAGGCTAGAGGCCAGAAGATAAATCACCTCGGAGATTCTAAACCTGAAATAGATCGTCACAGTGGTCCTGGACCTGAGAATAAATCATCGTAGTGAAACAGGTGTCACCGGGCCCATACCGTACCTGAAGCACGTCTGCACCGAACTAAACATCATAGTGACCCAAGGTAGCACCTGTCCATGCGTCTCCCGCTCTCAGAACATCCCGACTGCGGTAGTGTTAGTAATCAAGCAAACTAGCGAAAGCGACGCAGGGAACCTCGACCATCGGCAATATTGAAAACTGTTAAAATCCGGGAAAAATATCCAATCCGGGGTCAGGGCTGATGGCGGGTAATCGAGGCGAAATTAGGCCAATCTCCGAATAATCATGGGTTCCCGTCCCTTTCATCGTTTTTCATCATTCTTCCTTTTCCTTAATTCTATTGTCGGAAATAGTCAACTGTAAGTTCCCTAAAATTAAATTCGGAGAAAGTTTAAATAAATGGCCGAATTCCTTCTGTTTCTTTTTTCTTTTACCATTCTTAATCTCTTTCTATGTTTTTAATTTCTTTTCCGGGAACGTAAAATAACAAGGGTATTCCCCCTAGAATTAAATGCCGTGAAAAATAAAAAAATTAAGGAATATTATGTTTTTTCCCTTCTCCCCTACCGGTCTTAATCCTTTACCCCCTCTTTAATTTTGGTACTAAAATAGACAAAAATTCGAAGCCTCTTTTCGGCCCCGGTCGTATTGTTGCAAAAACGTTGTAGCGAGGTCAGTTCCGCGATGGCTCTTCGCGACAGGCTAATCCGGGTCTAACCTTCTGAACGACTGGAAATAGCGGTCTCTAGATATGCCGAGTGCGCTTATCCATCTCACCGTCTTTGAGGGTTAGTCGTAAGGTTCAGTGTGCTCAAAATCAGGGGTGCCCTGAGTTCCCCTCATTTTTGCTGCCTGGTCATACCAGAGTACCGTCAAAACACGGACTGGTCCCTGCGCCTAAGTCCCAAAACTGCAGATTTCAGGCGGCGCACTGCTTGTGGTCGCTTGACAGTTAGCCCGGACCACTTCTCGACGCTCCCGTCGAGCCCTATCCACTTAAGTCAAATGAAGCGGTCGAGCTTCAGGGCGATTGCCCGTAAAGGACGCCCACGTCGGCGTTCAGTTGTCTTATGTTTCAGTCTGTTTTGAGTTCTAGGGCTAAGTAGATGTTTTTTGACTTTCCTTCCTTGTCGGGTTCTCAGCCTTGGTAGGATCCTCTTTTTTTTCTGTCGTTGGCCCGAGAAGGGTGCCGTCCTGCCAGTTTGTCTAATGCCGACTCTCCGTTTGGCCTTCTTGAGCACGAATAACCATTTCTTATTTCTTCCTAGAGCTAACCCTTTGACCTTTCTTTTCTCTATTTTTTTTCTCTTCTTGGAGTTTTCGCCTGCCTCGAATCGTCTCAAGGTATCTCCATCCTCAATCTTAGCCTTCCCCTTTCCTTTGGGGCCCGTTTGCGATAAGGTGGGTGCAGGCCTAGGTCTAAACAGCTTTAACCTAGCGCCCGCCACTGGGTCCTTCCACTTAGATCCATCCAATTCTGCTATCATATATGCACCCCAGTCGAGTGCCTCAACCACTCTGTAAGATCCCATCCATCTATTTGTGAGTTTTCCGGTCCAGGTCCTCTCTTGTGCCGCGTCGTAGAGAAGGACCATATCTCCTACGCTCACCCGCTCTTTCCTGATTTGCACGTTCTTATCCCATCTCTCTTTACCCTTGTCCCTTTCCACTGCCAGACGATCTGCCGCTGTCATGAGGTTATCTTCCAAACCGTAGGCTATCTGTCTTGTTCGGGCAGCTATGAGTTCCTCTTTGAACATCTCCTCCGCCCAGTCGACGGTTGTCCAACTGTCGACGTGAAACTCTATGGGAAGCGGACAATGTCCCCCAAACCACAAGGTGTATGGAGGGTATCCCGTGCTAGCCCGGACCGTGACGTTGTCCGCCCAAATTGCGTATCGAAAATATCGTGGTCAATCATTGTCCTTGCCTTTGCACCACTTAGATAGCGACGTTATCAGGGTCTGGTGCTCTCTCTCTATTGGGGAGTTCGACTGTGGGTGGTAGGCAGTGGCTATCGAAACTCTCGCCCCAGCTCTCTTGAATACACTCTGAACCTCGTCAGCCAGGAATTATTCTCCTCTGTCCATCACTATCTTGCTGACACAACCATACCTAGATAAGTACTCCAGGACGAAGTTCTTCACTTTCCTTGCCGTCTTACTCCTGATTGGTCTACCGTCCACGAACCACGTGAAGTCGTCTCGTATGTTCACAACATAGTTCATATTGCCTACCCCTTTCGGCATCTTCACCAGATCGATGTGTACCTTCTCTCCTGGTCGGGTTGGATAGGATGGATGAAGCGGCTCTTTGTATTTCACAAGAGCTCTCTTCTGGCATTCTTCGCAGGTCATACAATAYCTCTCGACGTCCTTATACTGTCCTTCCCACCGGTACAGCCTGCGTACCTTTTCGTAGGTCCCTCTGACTCCTCTATGTCCTCCGACCACCCCGTCGTGAAGCTTCGCTACTATCGTTTGTCTCTCTTCAGGATCACAGACTACTCGTAAGGGCATCCCCGACCCTACTGGCCTCCGGAAAAGGTGGCCCGCTCTAAGGCAGTACTGGGCTGTTTGTCTCCGGATATCTAAATTTTAACTCTTCTCTCCCATCAGGTGTAGTCCGATCGTTCGGTACTTGCCCTCATAAAGATTAACTAGAAATCTCTCGGCGCGTCTCGGCTCTGCCATTGTCAGGGCTCCAGCTACTATCGGGCGCTCGCCCTCAAGAGGGATCCGAGAGAGCCCATCCGCTACGACATTTTTAGTGCCTTATATCCTCTCCACGGTGTAATCATATAACCGAATCCGTATTAACCATCGTGCAATGGTCGGGTCTGTCAGGCTAAAGTCATTCTGGAGGACAGAGGCGACCGCGGTGGGATCCACTCTTAAGATGAACCGTCGTCCATAGATATAATGTCTGAACGTGCCTAGACACCGCAGAACACCTTATACTTCCTTCTTGAATTGACTGTAGTTTCGCTCTGCCGTATTAAGTGTCCTACTCTCAAATGTTAATGGTCTTTCCTTCCCTTCAGCGTCTTTCTGAGACAGCAACCCTCCGACCGAACAAGGCCCAGCATCCGTGACTACTATGAAGGGTCTCCCAGCCTCATCATCAAAGTACGGCACGCCCAGTACGCGTCCTCCCTCCTTAAATTCATCTTTAAGCTCTTGCATAGCGAGTTCCTGCGAGCAATCCCAGTAGAATTTCTCAGTTTTTCGAAGGAGTAGTCTCAATGGCTCAGCCTTCTCTGCATACCCTCGTATGAATATTCGCCAGTAACCGACCACTCCCAGAAACTATCGGACCTCGGTTGGACCATGTAATGGTGACGGCCAGTTCAGGAGTTTGTCTAACTTCGCCGGATCTGCTCAGCGTCCCCTCGAGTCACAGATAAAGCCCAAGATCTTAATAGTCGAGACGACCCATCGGCTCTTTGTTCCACTGACTGTTAGATTCGCATCGTCTAGTTGCTCGAGTACCGCGCAAATATCCGTTAGGTGCTGCTCGACGAATCTTCTAACTCCAGGTGCAACCTCTGCCTCATCCTTGTTTACTGGCCCTTTAATAGGAAAGTCATCCAAAAAAAATTCAACCTTATCAGGGATGAAGTCCTTGAGGACGGCCACCATGGCTCTCTGAAAAACGGCTACCCCAATAGTCCAATACATAGGGACAACCATCATCTGTATCAGTCCCAATGGCGTATGCATAGCCGTGAGGTGTCTGTCTCTAGGGTCAAGCGGTACCTCATCATAACCTGAGAACAGATCACAGACCGAATAAATCGACCTACCTGCGACGCATTCTGCCAGTAAATCGGCGTGTGACACGGAGCCCACGTCTCATATCGTCACCGTGTTAACCTTCTGAAGGTCCTGGATCCATCGGATCTTGCCATTTGGCTTTCGTAGGAAGAACCATCGATTAGCATAAGCGCTATCAGACGGCTCCGCAACGTGGGAAACCATCTTTTCTTTCAAGAAAGCGATAACTTCTTCCTTCTCCTTCTGGGCGTATTTCCATCCCGCGTCATTCCAGGGAACATGTGGTATCGTGTAAATCCTTGCTGGCTTAGCGTATCGAGGGTCAACCCTACCGCGCTCCGCGTTACTAAAAGTTATGGCCTTATCACATGTCTTTAGGATTTCTATCACACGTTCTCGCTCCTGTGGGGTCAAATTTCCATCTCCGATGTCCATCCCTGCTATCCTCTCTTCCGTTAGGCGTTGTGGTCCCTTTCTCTTTCTTTCTTTGATTTCATTCGCGATCTCTTCTTCCGATATCCCTTCCAGTGCAGATCGCTCGCGCCCCACCGCCACTGGCTTAACTTTTTGAGCTACTCGCTTGTGTCGCTTGGGTAGCTCCCCATAGGGGGCCGTGCCCTTAAAAAAGACACGGATACCACACCGCCAAATTCCTCATCTTTTTCCTTTGGGTACGAGTTGCCGTCCACTATTGGCCGACTCCCTAAATCTTCCACCTCCACGATCCGACCTTCTTCCTCTGTGAGTAGTGGTCCATATTTATTCTCGTGAAATCGCACCGCGCGGCCGAAGATAGGTAACGACTTAATCTGATCACTGGGTCTCGCACCCACAGCGAGAGCTGCTCTGTTTCTCGGGTCCCGAGGCTCTACTGTCTCAATCATTACCCGCATCCCGTCTGGCTTCTTAATGGACAATGTTTGGCTCCCATCAGGTCGCTCTATCATCACCGCATGCACGTGGCTCAGCCACGTTCGACTTAAGAGCAGGTCAAAGCTGCAGTTCTTGACTGCAAAGACAGGCAGGGTCACTCGTACCCCTTGGACCTCTATGGCTGCCTTGTGACAAACCCCAGTGATCTGTTGCTTTTTCGCATCAGCCGTCTCTATCTCGAATAGGTATGACCTATCGAGGCCCAGTCCAACCTATACTGCCAGGTCCTCGTCTATGATGACAGCCTCACTGCCGTTATCGATCACAGCATCGAGTACCGCTCCATCGTTTATAATCGTCTCCGCGGCCCCACTACCAAGTATTTAAAACTTGTCTGGAGGCACACCTTCCATTCCATCGAGAAGGACTGTCGCCATGCGATCCGCTCTGGCAGTCACCCCCGTTACTGCTACTGTAGAAGCTTCCGCCTTAGGGGCCCCCTGACCCTCCTCCGATAGAGGTAT